AAATAAATAAATTCATCCAACAAAAACAGCATCTTATAGGAGCAGGTTACTGTAGATCATCAGAAATAATGTTACTGCTTTAATATCTGCAATAGACCCCTGAAAACTCCATGATATTCCTGAAAACTCCATGACCGGGTGGAACACTGGTATTTGCAAGTCAGCATTTGTAAAAAATAAATAAATAAAAAATGAAATCCTTCATCATCATCATCCCATTAAACAGATTCATTGGAATGAAAGAAACCCTCATTCATAGCTGCAGTGGCTGCTGTAATTGGCTCACATCTGTTTGTGCTGCTGATGAGGCCAGAGAGCAGCTCATCTACACACTCCACCTGCCACACACACCAGCTGAGCCCACATTACCATACACACACACACACACACACACACACACACACACACACACACACACACACACACACACACACACACACACACACGCGATCAATAATACACACCACAGCGTTCGGTTTATTCAGTATACCTCCGAGAGCGAGGACAAATGCAGCGCAATTAGTGGAGACTGGGACAGAACACTGAGCGCGAATCAAACAATGAAGCACAGCTCTTCTGATAATCCATTAGTTGGACGATTATTATTATTTTGATTAAATTTAGATTAAAATACATGTGTTATTTGGCGTTTTGCTAATTATAACTATATAAACTTGTAAATTAGGGTATTATTTTTAAATAAAAGTATACTTAAAAACATAAGCCACGTGTCGAGTTTATTGAGCTTTAATTTTCACATTTTACTAAGTAATGAACTTAAATGAAAAAACTACGTAAAACTTATCCAACTATCCAAAATATACATGAACAAAAAGCCAAAATAAGAGTTGTACTGCCATTATATTCACATTATGAAATTAGGATAAGATTTTTTATTCTCTAAGTGTGAAGCAGTCTCTAAACTAAGCATGGGACGATTGTTTTTTAGTTTTTTAGGACTGCAGTATCTCCAGCAGAAAAGATCTCCAAAGATGCCATTGTAAATTGTGAAAAAAATCAGTGTATAAATGAAGACAGCAGAAGTCAATAATTCAATTTAATTAAATAGCCTGACATGTTCACTGCTCCAAAATAATTTGAATGTTTCCCAAATTTAAATATATTGTGTTCAAAAGGGGAAAAGGTTTTGTTTTTTACCCAGACATTTTAAAGGAATACATGTTAGAGCAGTAATTTCAATACCGTGATACTTATATCCAACGTTATCATACCGTCAGAATCTTATCCCAGCCCATGCCTACTCTAAACATGCAAGCATGTGACCTAAAGATACTGTGGTACAGTACTGTAAAATGAGCAGCCTGCAGGAACAACCCTAGGCATGGGATGATAACCGTTTTCAAAGTATACCGTGGTTTGGAAAAGTCAGGGTTTTAAAATCGGCAACATTTTCTGCTATACCGTTCCTAAGGAACGTGCACAATTTTTTATTTACGTTTTTTTTTCTTAGGACAGCAGAATCTCCAGCAGAAAAGATCTCCAAAAATGCAGTTTTAGATGGTAAAGAAATCTGTGCTTCTGAAGACAGCTGAAGTCAATGAGTTATTTAAAATATTGGGGCTGATGTGTTTACTGCTCTGAAATATTAAAAATGTTTCTTAAAATGAAATATTTTGTGTTCAAAAGGGAAAAAAAGTTGTTGTTTTTTTACCCAGACATTTAAAAAGGCACAATGCCGTGCATGATATTTTTATCCAAGGTTATCATACCGTCAGAATCTTATACCGGCCTATGATTATACAGGCTATGCTGAAGAATGACTAATTATGTAGAATAACTGAATATGTAAAGCACTAATTATATAAGTTAAACATTCATATGACGCTATATGCGTATTCAGCAGTGTAACATATTATTAAGTTAATGTACCGTCATGACAATGTGTAAACACTTAAGTTGCATCTATGAAGTGGCATCTCGGGTGTGAAACTAGCGGCTGAGCTAGCAGGCTGAGAGCTAAAAATAACAGGATCAACTCAAATTAAAAACTTATCCAAGGGTGGTCAGAATTTAAAACAGGACACTTCAGGAATTGTCCGAATGAGACTTCAAGATTGCTCTGAGGTCTGCTCTGCACTTTCTCTGCTTCATTATGCGTTAATAAAGTCTATTTTTTGGTTTTCAAAACCTCCCGTCTGATTTGCTGTTGAGGTATGGAAAGGCCAGTGACTACATCTACATTAAGATATTAAGAATAATAATATTAAGATATTAGAATTTGTTGAAATATCAAAAGAATAAATAAACAACATATAACAGAGACAAAAGAACAGATAAACTTTCACTGCTCGGTGCACAAATGTAAAGTTATTGTCATTCACTAAAAACCACAACATTCACTAATTGACTAATATTTTACAGCTAATTTATTTATCTCAGCAAAATAATGTCAAAAAGAAAAAACTGATTATTTCTCTAACCCCATATCATTTAATTTAGCTTGTTTTAATGAAAAACTCACTTAATTTTGACTCCTTATTTCTGGAAACAAGAAAATATATTTTATCTATTTAACAATTTTAAGATATTTGGACTAAAAACAAGACAAAAACCCATTTTTGGCAAAGCACAATTAGAATTTTTGTGTGAACTGTCCCTTTAAGAGTCATTCATTTTCTTTTCAGCTTAGTCCCTTTATTAATCCGGGGTCGCCACAGCGGAATGAACCGCCATCTTATCTAGCACGTTTTTACACAACGGATGCCCTTCCAGCCGCAACCAATCTCTGGGAAACACCCACACACACTCATTCACACTCATACACTACGGACAATTTAGCCTACCCAATCCCCCTATAGCGCATGTGTTTGGACTGTGGGGGAAACCGGAGCACCCGGAGGAAACCCACGCCAACACGGGGAGAACATGCAAACTCCACACAGAAACACCAACTGACCCAAGCCAAGGCTCAAACAAGCGACCTTCTTGCTGTGAGATGACAGCACTACCTACTGCACCACTGCGTGGCCCCTTTAAGAGTCATTTCAATTGAAAACCCCAATAAACAGATTCATCACAACTATGAAAATCTTCTCACATCCACCACAAGGCTGTAGCTGATACAGAAGACATGATCCTGCACTGTCCAACAGTCAGAAACCCTTGTGTTCGCCTGAGGACAGATATGAGCGGTCACGTCACTTGCAGCCGGTGAATAATTAATGACAGGATCTAATAGACTCGCTGGCCCCATCATCGGCATTGGTAAACAGGGAAGTCTTTAGGCTAAGTGCTCTTTGTGATGGAGTCACTGATAATGCAGGTCTGAGTCCGTCTCCTACAGAGGACACAACTGTCCTCAGTGACAGAGGACGAGGCATGGGATGATAACCAGTTACAAGGTTTACCACGGTTTGGAAAAGTCAAGGTTGTATAAAGGCAAACATTTTCTTTAATGCAGTTCCTTTGGTAATATATAATTTTTTATTTTTTTATTTACAAATATTTAATATAGTTTTTTAGGACAACAGCATCACCAGCATCCAAACATGTTGTAGAGTTTAAATGTGCAGTGGCTTTACTTAAGAAAGATCTCCAAAGATGCACAGAAATCTGTGTGTTTGAGACGAATGAAGACAGCAGAAGTCAGTGATTTACTTTAATTATTTAGCCTGACATGTTTACTGCTCCAAAATATTACAAATGTTTCTTAAAATAAAATGTATTGTGTTCAGTGGGGGAAAATAAGTTTTTTTAACCCACACATTTAAAAAGATCATTGTAGGTGTGTATAATTATTAGAATAAAATAAGAAATAAATAAATCATGCGCAAATAGACGCGTGAACATTGTGACTTTACTGGCTTTATTTGCACGTTAAATTCGATTCATTCAGACGTCAAATTGACTTCGCAATAGACATGGATTCGTGTGATGGGCAGGGCTGCCTGGTGACTCTAGCTTCATTGCTAAATGGCTAACATGGATTTCATTGATATAGTAGCTGTGCTTGATGTGATTTGGGAAGGCTGAAAAAGCGTAGATTTGGCCTTTCAGAGGTGCACCCAGGTCTGTGAGTTCATCAACTCCTCCAGAAACTGTATACCTGGATGATGGAGGCTTACAGCAGGGCTTCAGACTGAGTCGAGCCCAGTTTGATGAGCTGTTGTCCGGTGTCGGCAAGAGGGTTTCCCCTCGGGACACCAACAACAGGAACTACGTCATAATCACGGCCCTACAAGGGCAAGCTGATTGGTTAACGCGGCACGAATGTCCGCTGAACTTCAAATTTTCCAACTCAAATAATTCACACATTAAGCGCGTCAAATGCTCAACTCGCACCACTTAATTCATGCGAATGGCGTCATTCGCGCAGCCTCATTCCTGTGAATCACACTGCAGGATGTCTATTTGCATCTTTGATTGACTTAACATGTAAATCACTCACGCTTGACGCTTCATCCACATCTGGTCTGATCGCAGCATAACAGAATAGATTTATGGTTTTCATGCATTTGTCACTCTAGTCCAGGGGTCACCGATCTCCTGGAGGTCCGGTGCCCTGCAGGGTTTAGCTCCAACTTGCCTCAACACACCTGCCTGGGTGTTTCAGGTATACCCAACACAATCTCACGGCAATTCGTAACTTTTTCATTTAGTGGCTAATTCGTATGAATTCGTACGATCTAATTCATACAATTTAGTACGATTTGCTTATCCCCCAATGACGGTTGGGGTTAGGGGTGGGGTCAGGTGCCACGCCTCCTTTTTAAAATCGTACCATTTCGTACGACAGAACTTGTACGAATTCGTATGAATTAGCCACTAAACTGGCAAAACGTAAAATACTTACGTTTTCTTGTGAGATCAGGCTGGTATACCTAGTAAGAGCTTGATTAGCTTGTTCAGGTGTGTTTGATTAGGGTTGGAGCTAAAATCTGCAGGACACCGGCCCTCCAGGCACAAGACCTCTGCTTTAGCCCTTTATTTTGCAAACTGAAATATAACCACCCTAAATATCCCTGCTCTTCTTCTTCTAGGAGTATGATGCCTAAAGCCCTCAACGGTCAAATTGTGATGGAGAAAACGCCCAGATACTTTGTGACTCCAGAAACTCCAGGCCGCATCCACGCCATGTCGAAGAATATCAAGCTGATCGTGGTGGTGCGAAACCCGATCACCCGCGCCATTTCCGACTACACCCAGATCATCTCCAAAACACCTGACATCCCTAGTTTTGAGAGCTTAACGTTCAAGAACCGGTCCACGGGACAGATAGATGCACTCTGGAGCCCGCTGTACATCGGTCTGTATGCTAAACACCTGGAGCGATGGCTGGCTTATTTCCCGCTCTCTCAAATCCATTTCGTACATGGAGAGAGACTAATAAGCGACCCGGCGGGAGAGTTGGGCCGTGTGCAGGACTTTCTCGGCCTCGAGAGGATTATTACAGATAAACACTTCTACTTCAACAAGACCAAGGGTTTCCCTTGCCTTAAGAAGCCGGAAGGAAGCAGCAAACCTCACTGTCTGGGCAAAACCAAAGGCAGAACGCATGCGAGAATCGACCCTGATGTCATCCAGAAACTGAGAGAATTCTACCAGCCACACAACCTCAGGTTCTACCGAATGGCAGGGATGGACTTCGGATGGCAATGAGTGTTTTTATGGTGGACACTTTTTGTGGTTATTAAGTCAATGTTGGCAGATTTCTTGAACATGAAGCTTTAGGTTGAACTGAGTCGCAGGAGAAATGTGATGGAAGTGAAAAACGATATCTTTGGTTTGTCGATGGCTCCTCGGCTGTTCAAATCAATGTGTCTGCTGGATAGAGACAGGCCTGAGCACTTCGAGACAAGAGTAGTTTGAGAGGTTAAAGAGGTCATGAAACCAAAATTTCATTGATCTTTTGATATATAAAGAGGTCATAGTACTATAAAACCATCCTAAATGTCTCAGATCAATTAGTATTTGTTTGCTTACACTAGCTGTCAAATGTTTGGGGTTAGTGTGATGTTTAAATGTCTTAAAATCAGCTTCTCCTGCTCACCAAGGCGGCATTTATTTCATCAAAAGAACAGTACACATTTGTGAGATGTTATTAATCAATAACTGTTAAAAAGTAGTTTATAATTTAATTTAATAATTAATTCCAGTGATTTAAAGATGATTTTTCAGCTTCATTACTCCAGTCTTTAGTCACATGATCTTCCAGAAATCACTCTAATATTAATTAATATTGTTATTATTATTATTATTAATATTCATTTATTCATTTTCTTTTCGGCTTAGTCCCATTATTCACCCACGCCAACACAGGTAGAACATGCAAACTCCACACAGAAACACCAACTGACCCTGCCGGGACTCAAACCAGAGACCTTCTTACTGTGAGGCAATATTATAATTCATTTGGGAAAAAAAATCCAATGATTGGGTTTGTCCATTTCTGACCCATCACCAGGCTGTTTTAATCCAGCTTTGGGTCAATTATGGACAAAATGTATGCAATTGAATTATAATTGCACAATGATTGGGTTTGTCAAAGTCCAAGTGATCATTTGTGGGTTGTTTTAATCAAATTTCGGGTCAACAAACCCAACTGTTCTGAAATCTCAAATCTGAACTGAACTGACACTTTTAAGAGTCCATATTTAACTCAACATTGGGTTAAAACAACCCAGCATTTTTTTAAAAGTCCTCAAAATTTATTCCATTATTAATATTATTATTATTAATGATAATTATAATAAAAGCAATAATGAGTGGAGTAATAATTTCATTTTAAAACTACATAAAATAAGTAATAAATAAATATTTAATTAATAAATACTTAGCTTTTTTTACATTTAATAAATGCCACATTGATGAACAGAATCATGTTATTTAAATTATTAAATAAAATTTATAATAATAATAATAAAAAACAACAACTGACTTCAAACTTTTGACCGGTCGTGTATATTAAAGGCAGTCACCGAAAAGGGGTGTGCAAACTTGGTCCTGGAGGGCAGTCCATCCACCTATATTCATAAGCATTTTGGAATATCACATTACTATTATTAATAATTATTTATGTCTAAGTCAGCTAAACTCTAGAATAGACCAAACTTGGACACCCCTGTTCTGGAATGTTCAACTTTATAATTTAAGCTCCACCTTCTCAAAAGATTCACGCCCATTTCTACTACACTGCCTGTTTATTGTGTTAATATGCATAACTGTCAGCCAATCAGAGCAGTGGGGGTTTACTTGTGGGTCTACAATCAGCCACGCCCATTCAAACAGAGCATTCTGATAGTGTGAGGGTCAAAAACCACACATGAAATAGGTGATAGGCTATATGCAGGACTAGGGTCAGGGTCAAACGCTTCCGGTGAACTGTATGCAGTTACAAATTCAACAGGTTTAAGGTCTGTTTTATTAAAAATACACGAGCTTCACTGTCTGATCGATATATGATATAAAGTGGGTCTCAGAATGTACAAGAAGCACTGCGTTGAATTACATTGTTCTGTGTCAGGTTTTGGCGACACGCTGGTGCAGTGGGTGGCACATTCGCCTCACAGCAAGAAGGTTACAGGTTCGAGACTCAGCTAGGTCAGTTGGTGTTTCTGTGTGGAGTTTGCATGTTCTCCCCGTGTTGGCGTGGGTTTCTTCCGGGTGCTCTGGTTTCCCCCACAAGTCCAAAGACATGTGGTACAGGTGAATTGGTTACAAGTGATTTGGGTATGCTAAAAATTGACCGTAGTGTGAGTGTCTATGGGTGTTTCCCAGTGATGGGTTGCAGCTGGGAGGGCATCCACGACGTAAAACATATGCTGGATAAGTTGGTGGTTTGTTCCGCTGTGGCGACCCCAGATTAATAAAGAGACTAAGCCGAAAAGAAAAGGAACGCTTTTAAAATATGACGGCTTTTTAAAAAATAAACGGCTTTTCATCTCGTTTTACAACTAAATTAATGCGGAAGTCTATTTAACTGATTGTATTTAATGTCATTACAACACTGAGGCTGTTAAAGGAACCGTATAAAATTGAAAAAAGTCACATTAACCCTTCACTGGACGTCTATCAGTGTGGAAACAACACTAGCTGCACATTAAAAGCACCGTCATTTTGAAGGAATAGGTAATAAATAATGAACAGAGGTAGTTCGTGAGCCCTTTAAATCACTGCTTTAAGCAGCACTGTTCTGCTCTTTGCCATTTTCATGTATTTTGTATGTTGCAAATTCAAACAAAACTTTAATAATGTTTGAATAATGTTTCTATAATTCATATCAGAGTTTAATTTACACTTTAGAACAGAATTCTTTGGTCATTGTTGCAGTATTTACACTGAATTTAGACAGTATTTGTCGCACATCTGTTAGGGCTGGTCTACAATCACATTATATCCAAAGGCTCAGTTGTTTTTATTTTGATTGTCTGCTGTAATTGGTTCATATGTAGACAATATGCAGATGAGGCTTCTGAATATTCCCTCTGCACGCATGAATTTGCACTAGTCTGAAGCAAAGCAAAGCCCCCTAGAAATCAAATAAACGACTTTAAGTTCCTGTAGAGTCGCTTATGTTGTTTTACACAAGACTGCATTCTAAGATATCGATGCAAAATAGTAATATATATTTCTTCAGCATTTGTATTTATGTTTCTTTGTATGACTGTTACTGAATAAAAAAACACTCTATCATGACAATAAATTCCCTTCATGGTGCCATTTGCTAAAATTGATATCAAAACAATTACAAATTGTGAGATATTATTACTTGAGGTGACACGGTGGCCTCACAGCAAGAAGGCTGATGATTTGAGTCTCGGCTGGGTCAGTTGGTGTTTCTGTGTGGAGTTTGCATGTTCTCCCCGTGTTGGCGTGGGTTTCCTCCGGGTGCACCGGTTTCCCCCACAGTTCAAATACATGCGCTATAGGGGAACTGATCAACTACATTGTCCGTAGTGTATGAGTGTGTGTGTATATGAATGAGTGTGTATGGGTGTTTCCCAGTACTGGGTTGCAGCTGGAAGGGCATCCACTGTGTAAAACATATGCTGGAATAGTTGGCGGTTCATTCTGCTGTGGTGACCCCTGATGAATAAAGGGATTAAGCCGAAGGACAATGAATGAATGAATGAATTATACAATTAGATTGTATTATATAATAATATACATCATAATATTCATTCATTTATTTTCTTTTCGGCTTGGTCCCTTTATTAATCCGGGGTTGCCACAGCGGAATGAACCGCCAACTTATCCAGCACGTTTTTACACAGCGGATGCCCTTCCAGCTACAACCTATCTCTGGGAAATATTTCATAATAATATAGATTTAATGATATAATATACAACATCTGTTTTCTACATGTATAAAATGTCAAATGTGAATTATTGCTAACATAAAGCTGATTTTCAGCATCATTACACCATTAAGTGTAACGTTACTGTGATATTTTTCTGGATATTACATAATACATTTGATTTTTTTAACAGAACACCACTTCTTTAAGAAGACACATCTCATTGTACTTTACTGTTAACTTAATACAAAATATGACCTTAATATATCATTATTATATAATAACATCACAAACAGAGTCACATATAAAGTTTCCAGAGTTTTTCCAGTCGAAAGAGCCATCAAAGGGAGAAAAAGGTAAGATTTTGGAATGAAAAATGTGAATGAACAGCCACACTTCACATAATAAGCCTGTAGGGGGCGTTATTACTTCATTAACCAACTCCAAATGCTCCATATCAAACCAGAAATCAACTAACTTAATTAAATTAAAACTTACCGTTAATGGCACTTCCGGTGCGTCATGGTCCCAGAGAGAATTTACATTCACAAAATGACGAAATTCTACCATAAAATAAGCCAAATCGCAAATAAAATCTCAAAACTGTGTGTGTGTGCCGATATTCGTCATGTTTCTGTTAGCCATTCCTTCCTATGCTTAAAAAAGTAATTTATATATAAATTCATTAATAAAGAGACTAAGCCGAAAAGAAAAGGAACGTTTTTAAAATATGAACATTTATTTTACTCCTGTATTTTCAAGGGATCCTGAATGGCGCGTACGTGTAAACGGCTTTACATCTCGTTTTACAACTAAATTAATGCAGAAGTCTATTTAACTGATTGTATTTTAATGTCATTACAACACTGAGGCTGTTAAAGGAACCGTATAAAATTGAAAAAAGTCACATTAACCCTTCAATGGACATCTATCAGTGCGTAAAAAATGAAATTTAAGTTTGTTAAGAGCTATATCATGATTGGCTAGTGTCTATAAAAAAGAGCTATTTGATGTATTGATATATGTAAACAAAAAGTGTTTTAATTAAAAATTATTTTAACAAACACCCTATTTCATTAGTAAATTTATTATTAATTTTGCTAAATTGTTTCCCAGAGATGGGTTGCGGCTGGAAGGGCATCCGCTGTGTAAAAACGTGCTGGATAAGTTGGCGGTTCATTGCGCTGTGGCGACCCCAGATTAATAAAGGGACTAAGCCGACAGGAAAATTAATTAATGAATGGATTTAGCTAAAGTGCTAATAAAATGTTTTTTAACAGTCTCCATGTAATGTAAATAGACTGTTTGGTCACAGTAATAAACAGGACACTTTTTTATTTATATATTGATGTAAATTAGGCCTATAAAAATATGACCTAATATAAAAATAAGACATCATTATTAACAATGGTTGATCAATTTATTAACCACAAACACAGTCATAATGTTTTAGAGTCCAGTCGGCAGAACCATTAAAGGAAGAAAAAGGAGAGATTTTGAATGAACATCCACACTTCACTTAATAAGCCGGAGGCAGGCGTTATAACTTCAATAAACAACTATGACTGTTCCATCAAACCCTAAATGAACAAATAAAAACTCACCTTTAATAGCACTTCCGGTGCGTCATGGTCTCAGAGTGTTTTCATCCACATCCAAAAGAGTAAAATGACGAAATTCTACTGTAAATTGAGCAAAATCAGATCTTCACTGAAGCGTGTGTGTACAGACATTCGTCGTGTTTCTGTTAGCGATTCCCTCTTACGCTTAAAAAAGTCACTGGAGAATATATAGAGCATTTGCGTAGCTCTCAAACTACTCACAAACAAACAAGCCCGCCAATTTACCGCGCCACTTCCACTGTCCAATGAGATTTAAGTTTAGGAGCTACATCATGATTGGCTAGTGTCTGAAAAAGGGCATACATTGTTAACGATAAAATTGCGACTCTTTGATTTATTAATATATGTATATAAAACGTGTTTTAATTAAAAATGTAATAAATAAGCACTCTAGTTACATTATTAAATTAATTATTAATGTTGCTTAATGCTAATAAAATGCGCAAATAGTCTCCGTGATTTGTAAATAGACTGTTTGGTCACAGTAATAAACGGAACAACCTTTTTAAAAATGTACTATTAATTTATTCATTTTGTTTTCAGCTTAGTCCCTTTATTAATCTGGGGTCGCCACAGTGGAATGAACCACCAACTTATCCAGCATATGTTTTACGCAGCGGATGCCCTTCCAGCTGCAACCCATCACTGGGAAAAATTTACTATTGAAATAAATTATAATTATATTTTTTTGATCACTCACAATATTATCATTAATTATTTTTAAGTGGGCACTTTTAAATTAAATTTGTTAATCAAAACGATCAGCTTTAAATAGTGTCAAATAATGACATTATCCCACAGAATTAAAGAGAAAGTTAGTTTGACCTCCAGCAGAGCATTATCATTAGAGAACATGATGAAACAGTCTACAGCGCCACCCTCTGGTCAAATCTGTAAAGCGCATATACATGATATTTAAAATAATAATAATCATTTCAGGTTATAAAGGATCTTTATTATCGATCAGTATAGTTTACTCTAGTCTGGTGGCTCTTGGAAAATACATAATTCAATATACAATACACAAAATCAAAGAAAATCCAAAAACAAGCAAATAAATGAGACTTGAATGAAATTAATCATGAAATAAGCCGACATGCATTTAACACAATTAGTTTACAAGGAATCAGTCAGGGTGCTGCTTGTCATCAAATAAATGAGTATATGTTGTTTCATTCGTTATTGCACATAGAATGTAAACAGTTCATTTTGGCAGTACATCATGAACGGAGCAGTCAATGAGACAATTATGTGTTTAAAAGAATTCAAAGTACACCAAGCATCTAAAGAGATGACGAAGAATTCAAGTAACTTGACCACGTTTTTCCATCTTGAACAGAACAACACAAGTCTTTACGGTTTACTTTCACCCCAAACATCACCATGCTAGTTTGACTAATCAGACAGAGTTTGTGCATTCTACTCAATGCTAAATTATTATGCATTTTCCTACTATTAAAAACAAAGTACTCTCTTTTTTAAATGTATGTTGTAGAGCTGATAAAAGAACAAATAAGAGCTACTAATGCCTACAATATCTGATATTAGGAGTTTTATGGTTATTTAGATGATATAAAATGAAATGTTGTGGAGATTTCTGGAGCATGCTACGGTTAGCACAAACAAAGGCACTCAGCAATGTAATAATCTGTGTGATAAACACATATATAGAAAAAAAACCCTCAGGATTGATTTGGTATAATAATACACAAAGGGTACCAGCAGACAGTTTTCACTAAAAATACAGCATATTTCTACTAAATTAATGAACAGATCCCAAAATATATATGGCTAATAAAACTAATAAATAAATAAATAAATAAATAATAAATAAATAAACAAATAAAAAAATTAATTAAAAATAAATAAATAAATAAATAAATAAATAAATAAATAAATAAATAAATAAATAAATAAATAAACAAAACAAAAAGTAAAGCTCTGCCTCAGTTTTGTCTTATTTTCCAACATAAACATTCTTAAGTGACATTCTTGGCAGATGTGTGGTATTTTGGGCATAACCTCACTTATTTTAATACATTTTAATAATGAATATCTTCAGCAATTTTGATTCTCCATGTTGATTTTACAAGGCTTTACACAAAACAGAAGACCTGAGGATGAAAATATTTCACCCACTAGCAGTTCTAAAACTGAAAGAGTTTCTTTCTTATGTTGAACACTAAAGAATTATAAGAAGTTTTTGTATGTTGTCTAATTTAGTTCGAATTAATTAGACTTTCAGTGATTCTGCAAGGGGTTCACAAAGTTTAGCACAGGGTTATTTGAACAATAACTGGTATTTTTTGATGTCTTGTGCTCTATAAACACAAACTATCTCACTCAGGACAGTACTACTAAAAAAATTAATAAGATCTCTCTTATTTTGTCAAAATTAATCCCATTTTCTGTGATTCTGTATTTTTGCTCAAGTAAGCAAATGTTGATTTTAGTGTGAACTGCCCCTTTAAAAGTAGTAACAGAGCTCTGTGTGCTCTTCTTCATCTGTACTTCTCTCTCTCCCTGTGAAACTATTGACATTTTCAGTGATTCTGCAGGGGGTTCACAAACTTTTGAACAGGGTTAGTTTTAGAATTTCAAATAGTTTTGTTATCTTTTCTCAAATTTATTGACATTTCACAGACTCTGCACAAGGTTATTTTATTTAATAATTGTAATCTTGTGAACTATATGTTAACAGGTTTTATGTAAATGATCTCACTCAGGACAGTGCTATATAAAAACAACAGTGAGTTAAACTTATTCACATTTTCAGTGATTCATGCAACTTCTGCATGGGGTTATTTTAATAATTTCTGCTATTTTTTTGTCATGTGGACTATAAACATAAAATGTCTTAAGGCAGTATTAAAACATGTATTTCGTTGGCAGTTCATTCCGCTGTGGCGACCCCTGATTAATAAAGGGACTAAGCCGAAAAGAAAATGAATAAATGAATGCATGCATTTAGTACAATCTCTCTTATTTAATTTTTTCTCCAAGTGGTTTACAAAATAACCCTGGTTTCGCACAGGTTATTTTAATTAATTATGTTTTTGTCTTGCAATTAATTTCATTTTGTAAAATATCTTACTCAGGATAGTACTAAACGTTATAAATAGCATATATTTAGTATAATCTCTTTGATTCTGCAAAGGGTTCACAAACTTTTGCTGCACAACACTTTAAATTGCTTTGTGTCAAAAAAACTCAGCTCAGAGTTGAAACCTCCAGCAGGAACACAGCTCTGCGTGCTCTTCTTCAGCAGTACTCTCTCCCTGTGGAACTATTGACATTTTCAGGGATTCTGCAGGGGGTTCACAAACTTTTCAGAATTTCAGCTAGTTTCTCAATGTCTTGTTGACTATAAACATAAAGTATTGTATTCAGGACAGTACTAATTAAAAAGGTAACATGCATTAAGTGTGATCTCGCTTATTCTGTCAAGATTAATCAGATTTTTAAGTGATGCATCACACTGTAACTTGTTTTGTGCTCAAAAAGTAAAAAAAGCGACTAAACTCAGAGGCTTGAAACCAGTTAATGATGCGTAAATGTTGATTTTAGTGTGAACTGCCCCTTAAAAAGCAGGCTTGAGCTCTGCATGGCCTTCTTCAGCAGTACTGCAATTATTGACATTTTCAGTGATTCTGCAAACTTTTGCACGGGGTTATTTTAATAATTCCTGCAGTTTTTATGTCTTGTGGACCATAAACAAAATATCTTACTCAGGACAGTAATAATTAAAAAATAAGATGCATTTAGTACAATCTAACTTTAGTTAAAATCCTGACATTTTCAGTGCTTTTGTAGGGGTTCACAAACTTTTGCATTTTGGGTTATTTTAGCAATCTCAGTTATTTTTATGTCTTGTGGACTATAAACATTAAATATCTTTCTCAGGACAGTAAAATAGCATGCATTCAGTGTGATGATCTCTCTTATTTTGTCAAAATTAATCACATTTTAGTGAATCTGCAGGGGGTTCACAAACCTTTGCACAACACGGTTCTTCTTTTGTGTTCAAAAAGAAAGAAGAGACTAAACTCGGGGTCTTGAAACCATTTCATGATGAGTAAACGGTGAGTAAATATATTCATTTTAGTGTGAACTGTCCCTTTTAAAGCAGGAATGGAGCTCTGCGTGCTCTTCTTCAGCAGTACTCCTCTCTCTCTCTCTCTCCCTGTGAAACTATTGACATTTTCAGCGATTCTGCAGGGGGTTCACAAACTTTCACAAAGCACTGTATCTTCTTTTTACATTCAAAAAGTAAAAAAGCGACTAAACCCAGAGGCTTGAAACCACTTGATGATGAGCAAACGTTGATTTCTGCATGAACTGCCCCTTTAAAAGCAGGAGTGATCTTCTGGTGGTCTTCTTCAGCAGTACTCCTCTCCCTGTGGACTCGGCAGCTCGTTGAGGTCCAGAAAGACGGATCCGGCCGACAGCTTGCGTCCTGAAGCCGACAGATCCAGGAATTCCTCGGCGGAGCTGGGCACGGAGCTGATGAACATGTCCCACACCTGCTCCGGAGACTCCAGGTCCAGCAGCTTCTGCTTGATCTTCAGGTTCTTCTCCATGTTCCTGCGCTTGTGCTTGAACTCCAGGATGGTTTTAGTGTATCTGTTGATGGTGGTGACGGAGGACGCCATGCAGGCTGTGAACGAACTCCACGCCAAACTGCAGGAGAAAACACAAAGCAGAATTCACGCTTCAGAACCTTCCTTAAAGGGACAGTTAGCCCAAACATGTAAGTTATCAGTGTATTATTTCTACTGATTGATCAGTCAACCAAACTTCCCCATAATGCAGCTCTGCGCTTCCCAATAAATACAGATAAATGAATGAACGTACATGTATGACCAGCTGTAGTCCCAGTGCTGCGGTTTCCAGTCCTCGGGGCCCAGACTGACGGTCAGCTGGAACGCAGTGGTGAACATCATGTGTGCCACCATTCCTAGAAGACCTGCAAAACACCACAGGAAACACTCTTGCACACATTACGCCATTATTATAGCTAGTACTGCTTTGATCACACACATAATAAAAATACTTTGCATATTTTGTGATTCACAAGTGTTTATTTACGGCTGTGAACTGCATTAGGGATGATGACCTCTGCTCTGTTCATATTGAATGCTGGGAATATTGTTTACATTTCTATCAATGCATACTGCTACTAATCTATCTTCTAACTATCTCTAACTTCAGCTATACTTACAGTAGGACATGTACATGTCATCATTAAACATGACCTTTACTTAATGTTCTTGTTATTTTTGGCATAAAAGAAAAATCAGTCATTTTAACTGGGCAACGTTTGACTGGTTTTGTGATCCAGGGTCAAATATTGTCTTCTATTTAATCTAAACATTATAAAAATGCTTTGGCAATATATTTGTAACATTGTCATGCCAATAACGCAAGACTGAATTGAATTGAGTTCTGTTTCTGACCAGCAGAGAGCAGCAGAGAACCACAGAAGATGGACATGAACACACAGCACACAATAAAACAAAACAAACATCTGAAACACAAAGCAAGCATATGCTGCAGCTCATATTATTCATTCATTCATTCATTCATTTTCTTTTCAGCTTAGTCCCTTTATTAATCCGGGGTCGCCACAGCGTAATGAACCGCCAACTTATCCAGCACATTTTTACACAGCGGATGCCCTTCCAGCCGCAACCCATCTCTGGGAAACATCCACACACACACTCATTCACTGCGGACAATTTAGCCTACCCAGTTCACCTGTACCACATGTGTTTGGACTGTGGGGGAACCCCACGTGAACGCAGGGAGAACATGCAAACTCCACACAGAAACACCAACTGAGCTGAGGCTCGAACCAGCGACCTTCTTGCTGTGAGGCGACAGCACTACCTACTGCGCCACTGCGTCGCCCCCACAACTCATAATAATTAACTAAATTACTATTTTAAATAAAGTCTTCCACATTGACAGACATAAGTATTGTTTCAGAATATTTAAAAGCCAACAATGCTGAAAGTTTTGAATATAAAAATAAACATAAACTATGAAGGATAACATCTTATGTGTTTGTGAAAAAAACATTATAAATATAGAACTTTCTTTGGTTCATGATTAAAGTGTCAATTTTCAACAAATGCAACTTTGGATTGCAAGTTAAAGCATATATTACAGATATGATTATTGCTGTGCAATTTTGTTTATTTTTCAGGCTACCTAATATGGTTGTTATTAAATATTTTTGTAAAACACTGTAAAAAAATGCTGGGCTTATCACAATTCCTTAATGTTGTCCCAGCCCAAATTGATTAAGTTTAACTGAACTGTTTTTACAAATTTATGTGGATTGAACATAAAACAATTAAGTTGCCCTCCTAAAAATCTCAAGAACGTGTTGATTCGGCTCATTTTTTAATAGAGTCTGAACAACAGCAAAAATCTGTATCAATCCTGTGTAACATGCACTTCATGTAGAAATAAATAAATAACATAAATAAAAGTACACATTTAAAAAAGGTTTGACTTGTTAATGTTTCTGGATTTAATAACTAAAATTAAGCAGCAATAAGCAGCTCAATAATTATTAATCTTTGTACATGCTAATTCATTAAAATGAAGCTGTCTATTATCAGATCATGTTGGCTGTTTTCATTTACAAATGTTTATTCATTTATTTTCCTTCTGAGCCGCCACTATGATAACCACTGAGCCACATGTGTCGCCCCTATGAGTGGTAGGTTATTCATTTTTTTCTCAGATTATTCCCTTAATTCATCAGGGGTCGCCACAGCGGAATGAACCGCCAACTATTCCAGCATTCCAGCATAGGTTTTACATGGTGGATGCCCTTCCAGCTGCAACCCAGTACACACTCATTCATACACACACACACACACACACACACACACACACACACACACACACACACACACACACACACACACACACACACATACACACACACACACACACACACACACACACACACATACACTACAGCCAGTGAAGTTGATCAGTTCCCCTATAGCGCATGTGTCTGGACTGTAACCGTAGCACCCGGAGGAAACCCACGCCAACACGGGGAGAACATGCAAACTTCACACAGAAACACCAACTAACCCAGCCGAGACTCAAACCAGAGACCTTCTTGCTGTGAGGCCACAGTGCTAACCATTAAGCCTCTGTGATGCCTAATAAAAATATATATATATTGGTAAATGCTGAAATGGACATTATTAACTGCTCATGATATTAAAGCAACTTAATTTGCAAATGGAAGGTTACTGTGAAGTTTGACCATAACTTTATAAAAAAACTTTATATAAATAAAATAATAAATAAACATTTTGCTGCATTTGAAATGTAAACGTGTGCAGTATCCTCTGGCTTGTTTTACAGCTTGTGGAGATAATAAATAGGTGTACTGTCATGACACCGCGCCCAAATCTGCTGAAAATGAGTGTCTAAGCAGATTTGGCTTCATTTTTATGCAGAGAGAGAGAGATGTGTGTGTGTGAAGCTGAAATAACCAAACCTGATCATTAAAGAAGTGGCGGTGGTACACTGTGAAGAGCATCTCAAAGACATCCAGAAGAAAGATAAAGACTGATTACACATCATTATACAGACACTAAACACACACACACACGCACACGCGCACACACACACACACACACACACACACACACACACACACACACACACACACACACACACACACACACACACACACACACACACACACACAGAGGGAGAGAGAGAGAGGGAAGGAGGGATGAATGGATGGACAGATAGATGAATACATTGATGCATAGATGGATGGATGAATGAGTAGATAGATGGATGATTGGACAAATCTGTGCATATACAGATAGATGGATGGATGGATGGATGGATGGATGGATGCATAGATAGATGGTTGAAAGGTGGATGTATGGATGGATGGATGGTTGGACAGATGGATGCATAAATGGATAGATGCATAGATAGATGGTTGAATGATGTATGGATGGATGGATGGATGGATGGATGGACGAATGGACGAATGGACGGACGGACAGACGGACAGACAGACAGACAGACAGACAGACAGACAGATAGACAGATAGATAGATAGATAGATAGATAGATAGATAGATAGATAGATAGATAGATAGATAGATAGATAGATAGATAGATAGATAGATAGATAGATAGATAGATAGATAGATGAATGAATGAACAGAGGGATGCATAATAAGATGGATGGATGTTGGAGGGATGATGGATGGACAGAGAAACGAATGGATGGATGGATGATGGATGGATGCATAGATAAGTAGATGGATGGACAGATGAATGATGTATGGATGAATGCATACATCTATAGATCAATAAATGGATGGATGGATTCATAGGTGGATGGATGGATGGATGACTGCATGGATAGATGGATGGACAGATGAATGATGAATGCATACATAGATCAATTAATGGATAGATAGATTTATATGTGGATGGATGGATGAATGGATAGATGGACGGACTCATAGATGAATGGATGGATGGATGGATGGATGGATGAATGCATAAATAGATAGATGGATGTTTGGATATTAGATAGATAGATGGATGGATGGATGAATGGATGGATGGACGGACTCATAGATGAATGGATGGATGGATGGATGGATGAATGCATGGATAGATGGATGGACGGATGAATGATGAATGCATTCATCTATAGATAAATAAATGCATGGATGGATGAATGCATAAATAGATAGATGGATGGATGGATGGTGATAGATAGATGGATAGAGTGACCTCAGTAATAGAGTGAGTCAGTAATCATCAGTTTGTCCTCTTGTTTATCAGGCTGTTTTCAAACACACACACACACACACACACACACACACACACACACACACACACACACACACACACACACACACACACACACACACACACACACACACACACACACACACACAAACACACACACACAAACACACACAAACACACACACACACACACACACACACACACACACACACACACACACACACTAAGACAAGCTCATTTCAAGCACACAATAATGTCTCAAACACACACCAATGTCAAACACACACAGCCTAACACACACTCAGTGTAAATGAACGTGTTGGTGTGGATGAGCTCATGGTTCCTCTTAATGGTGTCATTAGTGCAGTACGGCAGTGGAAAAGCTTCAGCCAGACGGACATTATCAACACCGGACACTCAAAGTCACCCCAGCCAGAACAGCGGAGGACGGAGGTAAATTACACATTATTTACAGCTCACTGAGCCTGCATACTGAAGCGCACGCACCAACACATCTGCAAAACTACAGCCAGGAGATCAGGAGCGTCTGAAGGAGATCAGCTTCAGTTTCAGACGTCCATCTAAATCATGGGAAAGGGGCAGTTCATGCTAAAATTTTCATTCTGCCATCATTTTTCTGCCAAACACAATTGAAAAATATACTCCAGAAGGCTGAAAAAAAGCAGCCATTGACTTCCATAATACACAAACACACACACTGTGAAACACATGTGAAATCATACTTAAGCTTTCATAAAATATCATAACAAATGAAGTAGATTCCTGGGTAAGAATCTTTTGAGCTGAAGTGATATAGAGGTGGATTTTATCTAAACGAGATATCTTTAATCCTCCAGAGTATTGTAGCTTCCTCCTAAGTTGTGGATGAAATATAGGCCAAATTATAATGATACTCAACAAACGGCACAGACAGAGATTCAGTGTTGCATTTTGAAGCCTTAACATATATAAAAACATAAGCAGAAATGAACATCAACATCCGCATAAACATACTCATTCATTTATTATCCTTCGGCATAGTCCCTCATTTATAAGGGGTCGCCACAGTGGAATGAACCATATGTTTTACGCAGCGGATGCCCTTCTAGCTGCAACCCAGTACTGGGAAACACCCATGCACACACA